AGAACAACTTTTGGGAAAGCAAGGCAATGTGAAATTTAATGGAAACGTCAGCTCAACTCATATCATTGTGTGAAAATTTTTCTTATACCAGTTCTTCATCACCTTAAACGAAATTGGATGAATACATCTCATATTACTGATTTACTGATAGTCACGAAAATAACACATAATTCGAAAAATTTATTATGTTCGTTTATGGTAAGTGTATTTGGCCATACTAGATTGAAACAAAGGACATTTGCTAAAAGTACCTTCTAGACCTTAGCGACCAACTTTTTTGGTCAGGCCTGTAGACCTGCTCTTTTATGAGGGCTCGCATCCATCTAAAGAGCCCGAGTTTTGCGGTGGCTGACGTCAGGAAGACGAGGATAGTGAGTAAAGCAGGGGGCTGAGTGTCAACACAAACATTCGGCAGAAAGTTGGTCAAGGAATTGACTTTATTTGTCTATGAAACGTTGTGGCTAGGTGCTAAGACTGACATGATTCACTAACAGCGCCACAAGCAGATTTAAATGTACCAAGTTTCGAAAACGAGGCCAAACAACATTTACACAAAGAAAGGAGATTGCGATCAAAATAGAGGACTTGACTAAAAAGGAATATTTCGCGACCCGGATTTCCCTTCCCACATCCGTTTTTAGTCCGCTCCTCTTAAAAACGCATCAGAAGGGGTGATCTTTGTTATTTTGTCGCCAAACAAGTGATTTTAGGCCTATATTACTACTCGGTTTATAAGAAAGGCATACAGCTTTCTGTGTAATGTTAAATCAATCTTTATATATTCCGTTTGATCCTTTAAGGCAATCAGAACTGCTTCTGCTCCGGCACTTCAAGATGAAATCATTTCTTTTTTGGCTGTGATGTTTGACAAGTCCACTGAAGTTATTGGCCATCGTGCTTACCCATGTGAAATGTGGCCAAACAATTGGGTTTCGCTATTTTCGCAGCACTCAGGCGGTGGATTCCGAGATGCGTTAGCAACTCACGATATGCCCTTTCTCAAAGTCGCAGTTGCTTAACTTAATTGAAGCATCAATTTGATCTGATAGGGCAACTGGTGAACTAGAAGAAGCCATTTTCCTAACGCAATAAAAATTAAAAGAGAGTTGAAACGGAATTCTCCCAGAGATCGTGTTAATTCGCTTGAAACAGCCATAGCTGCAGTATATCTTATTAGAGAAATAAAATGAAGAGACTTGCAAATAATAGGAAAACGAAAATACCATTTTCTAGGCAAAACGGTAAAGAGTTTGTAGTTCAGACGTCATAAAAGAGGATAGCAGCTATGAAGAAATTTTTAAAAGATAGGGCAATTATTATCGGGCGAGACAATATATATTCCTAATTTGAAAAGTATTTACACAAAAATCTAAGGATATTGCGTAAAATAATGAATAATTACAAATATACACCTACATTTGTATGACTGTAGTATATTCTAAGTCACGTTTTCACCCGAAACGAGAGAGGAAGTCTCGTGGACTGCGTCAACATGAATATCGTATAAAAGCCAAACGGCTGCAA